GAATTTTAGAATGTATAATGTTTACAATATTTATTATTTAAAAATAATATTTGAGATATACACTCGTCGTTGTGTTCATTTAAAATGAGGCAAAAAGAATTTTTTAAAGTACATAAAGAATCACACCACAAATATCTTCTGCATATGCATGAATTTTTATGGAATCTTAGAATGTATAATGTTTACAATATTTATTATTTAAAAATAACATTTGAAATATACACTCGTCGTTGTGTTCACTTAAAATAAGGCAAAAAGAAATTTTTAAAGTACATGAACAATCACACCACGAATAATCAAAATTTATATTTAACAAAATTTCGGTGATATAAATACAAATTCCATATTTGCACTAAAATTGTTTACCTTCTAAACTACAAAAACGAGGTGATATTGGAAATGATATCAAGTTGACCAAGCCACATCCGAGAAAGATAGGTATCCTCTACTTATCTCTTCAAGTTGCATCCATTTCAATTGACATCACCTCAAGATATCATCGTCACAGTCACGTGAAACATAGTTTCGAGATAAATGCATTTGATCGAAATCCTGTTAACAAATGAAATTATTCGAATGGTCTCGCTCTCGAGAAATGCCTTGGAATTCCAAGCGCGAAAGCGACGACAGGGCACAGGCGTCGTGGGTCAGCAAACGATATATATTCATTCGCGGAGTGAACGATCGCGCGCAGAAGATCCACCGAAGATCCACGAGGTCGATGACGTCAGATGGTTGCTGGCCGGGATCAATCGGAGAGTCAAGTCGCGATAATTGCGACAATCGTCGAGATGTTCCCCAACGAGACGCTTAATTCCGCTCCCTCGTTCGCGTTGTTGCTACAGCTCCCTTTCTCTGCGCGACACTATTTCGCCTTTCGTTCGATTTACGGACCCTCGCGGTTTCGCTGTTTACTTGGCTGGGAAGATTGGCGATCGGTAATTGTACCTTCGATCGCCACGGCGCCTGGCTTTATCTTTAAAAACGACACGTAGTGGTTCAGTTTTAACGATCTAGTAATATTTCATTTTGTTTAACAAGGAGAAGTCTCATAGCGTTGACTTTTTACGTTGTACAGTAAAGTCTCCTTAAATGCACAAGCTTGGGACTGAACTTGTGCGTTTATCGCAGCGTTCGCGTATTTTCTGATGTTGCCGGCGGACTTCGAACCGTAGAGGAGGACAGCGAATAAAGAAGAGGGCGGATAGAAAACACCAGGGTACGCCGGTGTGTTTTATCGTTGTATTTAGCATTGTCTCGAGATATTTTTCCTATTTCTCACTTCATCTTTAACATTTCAAGTTCCTGCAATCATAAGCGGTTTCGAGCACCATGAACTCTACACAAAGTACTATATACGTATACTCATACTACATACTCATAACAATTATTTAAAGTCATTCGCTATGCAAATTATCTTTGTAAAAAGAAGTGAGATCCCCATAAAAAACTTGAAAAAAGTAAACAAAAATTACGCCAAGTACATGAAAAATTGAAGGACTCAAGGAGTTATCGAAGTTTGACAGTCGATGACGCATAGACACGATGAGAAATATTTAATCGACGTCGTCGCAGCGCTGGCTACGACATCGATTGATTTAGCAATCTTCGCAGAGGTTCGAATCGATTGCAACGTGAGAAAGTTCGACACTTAACTGCGCACGATCCAAGACTTGCCCGTCTTTCCCGATCTCGAAAATTATGATAATTAAAATCCGTTCATATGGAATCGTTTCCCTCGAATGTCTCAAATCTCGTATATTTTCACGAGTTTATGTCAGAGACAGTGTCGTCACTGATTCCATGATATCGATAATGAATAATGCATCAAAGTTATTCATTTCTTGTCTCGGATTCGAGATTTGTATGTATATAAGAATTTTCGTTCATGTTTTGCCACATTCCATTAACGAATCGGTAATTTCCCCCTCCGAGCGAGAAGAGAACGAGCCGACGATCATCGAGGACACGATAATTGGCGAACAGAAGAGGGCCGGGCACGGCCCACAAAACGCTTAATTATCTTCTCCGCGAGGCAACGGGTCATTTTGTTTCCTCCATGGGAAGCCGAAACTGTCACGGATCAATCAAACCAGCAATAAAAAAAAAACCAATCAACTTTGATTTTTTGTTTTTAATTCAAAATTCAAATTAACGACGAACCATCCCGAAAACGTACGCGAACATCGTTTAAATATTAGGTTGGCCAAAAGTTCGAATGGTTCCTAACTTGGGGACTTTTACAAAGCCACGTCATGAATTTGCCCAAAAGGTGCCAACAGATTATAAACAAGACGAAACGGACAATATGTTACGAAGTAAATGCATTTCTTTGTCTAAGAAAAATCGCCGTTTATTTGCGCGTTAACGCTACTGGTAGCGAAGAGGCACATAATTGACTTCAATAATATTTTTCATTTTGGCAACATTGGTATCGTTCAATATTTATTTCATCTATTACAATTTCATCCTTTTCTCGTTAATATTTATATAATATTTCATAATTCTTGCAATCATGGAAGCGTAAAATGTTATCTCAATAATATATAAAATCGCCGTTTATTTGCGCGTTAACGCTACTGGTAGCGAAGAGGCACATAATTAACTTCAATAATATTTTTCATTTTGGCAACATTGGTATCGTTCAATATTTATTACATCTATTACAATCCTTTTCTCATTAATATTTATATAATATTTCA